TCTATTCTAGAAAACTGATGTTAAAATGAAGTTTTAACACCAGAGTTCGAGAGATGTAAAGGATGAAGAGAGTTAACTATGGACAGCAACAACCTAGATTTGAATCACACCAAGAAAAGGCATAGGGACATTAATAGTCTAGTTTTGAATATAAATAAAAAAGTAAGAACATAAACTTCAAGGTCAATATCATAAATCTTTACTGTAGTAATAGATGTTGGTTATGGATAATATGTACCTGCTTAGTTTAGTATCTTTAATTCCAGCTACATTTCTTTGCAAACTTTTATTCTAACATATCATCACAGGAAATTGAAAGAGATTCACTTGGAGCAAATAAGATTTGCAATTAGCAATTGTGGTGGAAAATGGAAGTGAAGCACTTGAATTGCACCATGAATCTTTTTTTTACATAGACTGTAGCTAGAAAAGTGCATGTTTTACATTTAGATAATATTTTTGGATGAGAAGCAATTTAAATAGAACTATTTTAATAATAGCAGAGAAGAAGTAAGGATGTTTCTGGGAAACATTTGCACAGTTTTGTGATCTTCAGACTCAAGAGTGTGCAAAGCCCTAATGTCTGTCATAATCTTCAAAAAAAGCTTTGTTTTATCATAAAAAGTAGTGAATAAATACAAACTGTAACAATTCTCTCTACTAAAGAGTAATACATTTGAGCAGACTATCCATTGTTTACAGCTGGAACCAGTACAGACTGTAGAAGGAATCCTGTTCCTGTTTAGCCATTTAGAAAACTCATCTTAAATTCAGATTGATTCAAATGGTAATTTTTTTCTCTGTTATTAAAATTAATTCATAACAGGGGATACTTCCTTCACTATGTTCAAATCTCAAAGTGCCTCAAACTCCTAAAGACTGTTTTAACATTCTCTTTATGGTTAAATTAAATAATTTGAAATTTCACCGAAAGTCATTGAATCTTATTGCCCAAACTATGGTGTGTCCCTTAGAATACAAGTTTTCTATGCTAAACTTAGAAACTTTGATAACAGCTATGCAGTGACAATGCTGTTCAAGTAAAAATAAATCCAAGCTTAGACAATTTAGAATACTTTAATTAAATGATTTAGCTGAAAATAATTATGTCACATTTCACTAATCACATATATTTAAAAAACAGTTTTCCATAACTGGCAAAGCATTGGACCCATGTTAATTCAACATAGTAACACAAATAACTTCAAATTATGACAGCTTATTTCTCATAAAATTGCTTTGATTTACTAACATAAGGTTAACAATGTCTGCAGTCCAAAAGACCTTTTTCTGTGTGTGGTCAGTGGGACAGAGGAGGTTTTTGTCCATTCTTCAGATAATTAAGTAGTGTAAAATTATGATGATTTCCCTTTTTATACAAGATAAATAAAGGGATTGAAATATTGGGTGTGCAGAATTATTTCTTTTTCCTTTGGCTGAAAGCATATGTGATCTACGAATGATGCATCTTGGTATACCATTTGCTCACACATGTACAAACCTTGAGGATGTTGCACATCAAAAACTGTTACAAGTACCGAGACTAAAAAATGTGTGTCCCTTCATAAATAAATAAAATAAAAATAAAAGGGCAAGCAATTAGGTCTTGTAGCAATAACTTTGTTGTCATTTAAATTAGTAGGACTACAGGAAACAGTAAACTTGTAAAATAAAACACAGCAATATTTCTTATTTCTTAGAGTTTTAAAAGCTTGTTTCAGTGCTATGTAAAAGTATTTATACCATTTGAACAGTTTGAAGTTGTGTCACATTATTCAACCACAAACCTCAGTGTACATAATCAAGATTTATTTTATTTGAACACATGAATATGCTAAGATTGCTTAAGCTCAGTTCAATCTTAGATTGAGAGTCTGTAGACTCTAAACTGCAAGTGAGAATCCTTATGTTGTGTTTTCTGCAACAGCTTTCTTTAAGCCACTCTTCCAGTTTTGTGGAATGATTAAATAATAGTAAATAAAATAGATTTTAAAATAGATAAAATAGTAGCCTGTGCAACTCTTCCATAATTATGATGGACCTCTTATAGAAGGTTAATTCATAAGATAAAACTTATGGATGGTCCACCGTGAATAAAGTGGATTTCCTCCACTTTATTCACAGTGATCGCTTTATTCCAGTGATCACTGTGAAGTGAAGGAAATTGTGAATGAAGTCTCTAATTAATGCCTGACCTGTCGGTTTAGTTGGACGTCTGTGTCTTTAAGAACTGCACTTACCCCATATTGCTTTCATTTTCAGATCATAGATTGAGTTTTGCCTTCTGAGATGTTCAAATCTTAACTAAAATTATGTCACAACAAGTTGAACTCTATTTACTGATTAGGCAATTTTTAAAGGCAAAGAGTTGTACTTGATTTTATTTAGTGTTGTTGGATTAAAGTTGGCTGAATCCAAATGTACACCACATTATTATTATTGTTTTGAAGAAATGTTCAGAACTTGGCATTCTTATTTTTACACTTGACAATTACAGGCTTTTTTATGTCTTTAACATAACATCAAATAAATGAAAGATATTGATGGTTTGTGACTAAAGGGATAAAGTGTGAAACGGTTGAATGGGTATGAAAAATGTTTAAAGGCACTGTATATGAAATGCTGTCAAATGTAACGGAAGAAAACACACTTTGATCAAAATTTTATGTTTTGATTTAATGTACTCCTTTAATTTTAAAGGAGTACAACGGAAATACAACATAAAATGGGTTTGCCAAATTTGTTTCTGAGAAGCTATTACTTTGGTAAATTTAACTGTTATTAGTATTTCTGCATGCAGTCTTCATTTGTTTACATTAAATGAACAATCTAGCAAACAAAAATTGTGTAAAGTTAGCAGGAACTTCAAAAGGCTGCCGTAAACATAGTTCTACTCTTGCTCAAACAACAGGTATCCCAACAAATTTCAAATTACATTTATTTTAGAATTAAGAGAAAACTTAAGAACCATAGCCAAAGTGAAAAGTTCTTCACAACACAAAAATGGATAGGCCATACATTGTATTGCTTAGAAAGAATTAGCACAGTTTGCAGGCTTCTTTGACTAAAAAAAGTACCAAATTAAAAAAAGTAGCAAATGAAGTGTCTTCAACCACCTAGTTTGACAATCTGGACACCCTGAAGCCAAAATCCTTTTGAAGCAACTTTTAATTCAGTTCTAGTCGTCTGTCTGCATGGGTGCACATATACATAAAACAAATCAGATTACTGTAAATAAATTTATAGTTTTCAGACAGAATAACACAGTCATCAATAGTAGATGACTGTCATTAATACAATGACAGAAACAACACATCTCTGAAAAAATGCTACATACACAGTGAAATGTGGTAGTTACACATCATGATCTGGGGTTGCTTTTATTCAGATAATACCAGATTGTCCTCAAGGTGGAGGAAATTGTGAATACGTTATTATAAATGTCAGAGAATTTTGACAAAAATCTTACAAGGGGGAGGGATAAATATTGCCAAGTGAAAATGTGAATTGCTTGCAATCTAAATCCAAGAAGACTTGAGATCAGAACAGAATCAAAAACAAGTTCAATAAAGTACAGCAGCTAAAAGAAAGTATTAAACGATTCAACCTATTATCAGTATAAATATTTCTATTATTTCCATTGACACGATGTTCACATCTATGAATACTCAAATAAGCCACAGACACAGAAAAAAAAATTAAACAATTTAGTCCATAAATGAATCTTATGTGTTTGGCCTATGAAAGGGTATTCATTGGTACAGTATTGATAGGTTTGATAAAACCAAGGAAGCGTTCACACAAAACTCTGTTTTAAATCATTATTATTGCATTGATTCTATGCATTTCTAAACTTCTGAATGTTCCAGTGATCATCGCTGGAGCAACAATCTGGACATGGAAAGGAAGAAGATGTAATCTGGCAGTGGGAAGGAAGGAACCGTGACCTGAAAATGTGAAGGACATCATTTCAACGTAAACAAGCCACAGTCACGCCTCTTTTAAGATTTCTGAAAAGTGATGTTTTTAGGTGGGAACATCGTGATGTGTGTTATATTACAGAATATGATATTGGCAGGTTTTATATAGCTGAATCAATGGTGAATAGAAAAATGGACCAGGATATTTTTGTTAAGACTCCAAAGTTGTAAAGAATAGAGTGAATTATCATCTAGGAAAATATTTCCAAAGACACAAACAAATAATCTCTTTATTGGTGTGTCCATTATGCTCTATGTCATTCCAACATTTTTGTGGTAACATTATTTGTGGACAAGTCTGCTTTGATTAATTTACATGTGCAGATTGTTTGGGGTTATTACTAACATCTGCTGTGAATTTCACATCAATACAAATTTTAGAAAAATATTCACACAAAAATGTTCAATATCTATTTTACCCACTGTCTAAATGTGTAGGTTATAATCTCCATGCAAATTATGGCTTTTGGTAAAAAGGTGGAGGGCAAGCAAAGTACTTGTGGGACACTAACATATTTTTGAAGCCCTTTTTATATTTCACCCATTAACAGATTTGTTTGTTTTTAAGTTGAATTGTATGGCATACATACAATAAAGGTGAAAAAGTTATGAAATAATTTATCTTGGTGTCATTCTTGTATCATAAAAATGTGGCATTCTCTGAGCGTTTTCACACGCACTGACACATATCTTATATCTTATCATTTAAAAACCATAATTAAGTACGGCACTGTTCAAGAAAGAAAAAAAAAAATTGATGAGGTGAGCTAAATGAACTGGATCCCAAAAGAGAACCAGAATTCCCGTTAGTGAGACCTAACTGAAAAAAAAAAAACAAAGAAACAAAAAAAAAAACAACAAAAAAAAAAAAAAAACACTGATCTCGTGCTACGCTATTTTGGAGCAATGCATTTTGGGACACCAAGATGGCGTCCTCTATGTTGATGTAGGTTGTTGTGTTCTCAGTGATGCAGATTGATTCTTTGTAACTGAAAGAGTTTAAATAACTATCACACTGCTATGTCGCCGTTTAATATGGTAGGTTTTAATTTTATCCGGGGAGGGTTCACTAGTCTCGGTGTTAAAATCGGAAAACACAACGGTTTGTCCGAGACGCTTCTCTGGGGAGCTGCAACTCCAGTGAGGATCCGGGTCCGAGGGTACACTCTGGAATCCGGTAAAGATGGCCACGGTCAGTTTGTTTGTTACCAGCTTCCACATAGGACCCTGTTGAAGATTCAAGGACCGGACACAAGCCCGTTTCTCCAGGGGATTATAACCAATGACATGAGGCTGCTCGAGGAGCCTGGGTGCACTGCTATGTATTCACACATGCTGAATGTGCAGGGACGAACCCTGTATGACATCCTGTTGTACAGGTGAGAAATTGTTGCACTTGTTTGCTCAATATTTCTCATTTGCTCACCTTTAATTAACTATAAAGTGACACATCTTTGCTGACAGGCCTGGAGCTTGTCGTAAGTGAGAGAAACAGACATGTATAGAAAGTGAAAAACATGTCCTGCAAAAGTAAATATTCCTGGTAGATGCTGAAATGTTTCACGATCCTTCTTTCCAAAGAAGCTCAAGCTCAGTCAGACTGAACGAAGAGCGTCTTAACTTATTCTTAACTGAATATAGGTCAGACTGGTCCATGTTAACACTTCATATGCTTTCATTTAAACTATTACACTGCGGTTTTGCCTGAATTTATGTGAACATTTTTCTAAACTGTTAGGCCTGCTATTAACCAATGCTTCACTCTCTGTTGATCTGTTCCTTAACGGGATATAGAAAAATACTTTGGTACAACAAAATGCAACACACATAATTTAAATTTATAAATCAGAATGATTGAGAATTTTCCATTTTTAACTTTTAAGTTATTTTGCAACTTTTCTTGCTATTCTCTGTTGTCTTCAGTTACAGATATACAGGCTGAACTATAGCTGGCATTAGATAAGGCACAGGGTGCACCCTGCACAAGTTATCAATTGGACACAGAAACACCAGACAGTAAAAATAAAGAACATGCGCACCAAAGAGACATTTCACGCAAGCATAGCTAGACTATGCAAACACCATTCAATCTATTTGGCCTGGTAGGCTTGTTTCCACTAATCCCTGTCATGCACACAGCTTATACAGCCAGGTTATCATTCAGTTATCTAAAAATAATCAACATGGGATGTTACATTCTCCATCACAGAATATTTTTTGTTCATATCAACAAAACAATCTTCATCAGAATGGCTGAACAAGAAAATAATCAATTCCAGATCTTAACTTAAACTGGTGGGACCTTCAAATAGTTCTATGTAGATATGCTTGCAAAGCCAAAACTTGTGAATGAAGTTGCAGGAAATGAGGGAGACCCGAGGTCCAATTAGCGTAGAAATAAATATATTTTTTAAAGGGAATCTCATAACTCACAATTTTCAGATCCTCATCCAGGCCAGTTGGCATATAATTATTAATTGTTGCAATATAAAGCCTGCACATACTTGCTGTATTTCCCTCCAGTCTGAAAGAAGCAGAAGGAGGACATGGTGTTTTCTTGGAGTGTGACAGCACAGTGGAGAACTCAATCTTGAAACACTTGAAGGTGTACAAGATCCGGAGAAAGTTGAGCATCAGCCTCTGTCCGGAGCTGTCTGTGTGGGCAGTACTTTCACAGCAAAGCAACCCAGATCAAGAGACCAGAAAACCTGAGCTGTCTGCCCCTGAAAAAGCAGTGGTATGGGAGGCTGATCCCCGAGCTGTGCAGATGGGATGGAGACTGGTGTTGCAAAATCAGTTTAACCCCTTGGATATCATTGCATCTTGTCAAAAAGGAGATACAGTGGATTACCACAGACATCGCTACTCAATAGGTACGATAATGATTAAGAAGATAGTTTTTGTCAGACAACAATAAAGAGTTTGAGTAGTCTTAGTGTATGCTCTTGATATTCTGTGACTTTCATTTTTCCTCTGCTTCCATGCAGGACTTCCTGAGGGAGTAGACGATCTTCCCCCTGGAGTCGCACTACCGCTGGAGTCTAACCTTGTCTACATGCAGGGTATCAGCTTCAGCAAGGGTTGCTACATCGGTCAGGAGCTCACGGCCAGGACTCATCACACTGGGGTGATTCGGAAACGCCTCATGCCAGTGCGCTTCTCATCTCCGGTCCAACAACTCGAGGAAGGAACCGCACTCCAGACGCAGTCGGGCAAGCCAGCTGGTAAACACCGATCGGGCGTCGGGGAGCTGGGTCTAAGCCTAATCCGCACTGCTCACGCCAAAGAAGTGTTGACGCTGAAGTCTTCTGACGACACCTTAGTGACACTTGAGGTCTCTGTGCCAGACTGGTGGCCTAAAGACGTGAAAATTAACTGAAGAGGAGGTCGTTTTATAGCTCCTTGAAATGTGACATGGATCACATTTGACAGATTCATGACCGGCAAAACCCTCAAGTAGTTTGTTACACTGCCATTGCTTTAAACATGTTTTTTTCTGAACCAAAACCTACTTATTTATCGCTTATGTATTGTTTATTATTGATAGAAAATTGTATATCTAAAAGATGATGCTGTGTTGGTGCCTATTAAAAAAAATGAAGATAAAAGCAACACAAACACTATTATTTCTGCTTTTTATATGTCAGGCAAAAACAAAATTCAAACAGACAAAAGCGGGACTTTAGACAGCAATGAATGTCATTGCTTTATGACAACATTTTTTATACTTAATGTGGCACTTGTTTAGATGTTGGGCACAATTATTCCTGATAAAGGAGATGCTGCCCTCTAGTGGACTGTATTGTGTCTCTGATCTGCTGTAGCAAGGTTTCGGGTTGCAAAGTCGAGGTTGAATGATCAAGCCGCTTAAAGTCCTCGTTGCACAGTAGGCATTCAATAATGTGGACCACTCTCTGTAGATCGAAGGCAGCGTGGTAAGGTCCAAGAGCGGTGAGGGTCTCTGAGAGATGCCGGGAGTAATCAGAGGAATCTCCAGAGGAGCAGGCATTCAAAAAGGCCATCCGATTTTCAGCAACAATTTTCAGAAAGGAAGCAAATTCACTGTAGTCAATGCCAGAGCAGGCTTTCATAATGACCTGGAGGAAATATCAACCAATAATCACTATCACATTTTAAGCATTTCTTGCATATTTCCAAATGATTGTATAATCTCATGTACACAGTACCTGACAATGCTGATGCCATGAATCCATTGTGTTTCTCCACTCCTCTATCTCTTTCTGAACAGAAGACAGCTCATTCTGTAGGAACTGCCACATGATGTCAATATTGCAGCCATTAAGCCAATTATGATTAATGGAGATGGTGTCCTCCTATTAAAAAAAACCAAATATAAACAAAAGCTAAATTGTATACTTTGATATCATAAAAAATGTTCATTTATTTTCATAATTTGGTTCAAGATGTGAAACTAAGATTCTTAGTGGAATATTACCAGTGTTAGTTTCTGTTAATTTCTGATAATTTTGATGATTATTGGTTACAGCTAAAAGAAAGACTCAGATTTTGCAGTAAATTAAACAACTTGTTAAGCCACACCAAAACATTATTGACTTTTTGAAGAAACATGCTGATGAAGTTAAAATATGAATTTATAACAAAATCTGGAAGGAGTACGAATAATTTCGGTAAAGAAGAGTGTTGCTTTTTATCTGGTGTTCAGATAATGATTACATTCATTGTCTGGTGACCCAGAGTCTGGAGGCAGAGTGAAGAATCACAGAATTCAACTGGGTTCAAGTCCAGTGTCACACTTCTACAGTCACTGGTGATTTGGGGAGCAATGTGGTCTGCTGGTGTCAGTCTACTGGCTTCTATCAATTCAAATTCCAGCAGGGGAATATACCACAATATTTTGAAGCACTTAAAGTTTCCCTCTCCTGACAAGTTATATAGGAGACGCAAATTTTTACAGTCAAGCTTGGCTGGGCACCTAGCCAAAAGAATCAATACCTGGTTAATGATACTGTGCTTCACTGGTCAGAAGACTGACCAGACCTCAAGCCCACAAAGAATCTAAACGGTATTGTTAAAATAGGAAGAAAATTATGAAAGGCAGCAGACCAAGCAACTCAGATGAGTTGGAAGAAACTAAAGCAACCTGTGCTTCCTTTAACACTTCAGTAGTTGCATGCTGATTTCCATGCAGCCGCATTGATGCAATTACTCAAAAGGGGCAGAAATATATGACTGTCATGAGCTGATTCGTTTCACTTTTGAATGAAATTACTCTTTGAATATATCCTTGCCATATTCTAATTAACTCAGATGCATCGTTATACAAATAATGTATATTTTTTTCACTTCTCACCAGATTATAAACTTGGTGGTGCCAGCCACTTGGCACAAAAATAATTTCACCAGCCTCTTGAATTATTTCAAGCGGTTGGCAAGCTTCTTCAAACTGTGGGAAAAGGCCTCTGTCTTGCAGTTCAGCTGAAGTAACATCATACGGGAGGTTTCCATGGGTGTCTCGTAGAAAGTCCTCCTGACCCGGAGGATACAACAGCCACTTCTTCCTGCCACATATATTTGCAGACCAGCTGTACGAGCGGAACACATCAGCATGGAACGGGGTCCTGGAGACAACAAGTACAATGGAGTTTTCCCCAAGAGATTGAAAAGGTAACCCCTTCCTATGGTATCAGTATAGTTGGATCATACATTAAGATTTTTATACCATGAGCCTTTGGGTCCCATGTAGACAAACCGGTAGTCATCCACTTCAAGTGTATCCCAGTATTCATTAAGCCAATCAGAAGAAAAGAAGACTGGTGTAGTGTAAACATTATGGTCTGGAAAATCCCTGTTAAATAGGATACATATTCCACGTCATTCCAGATGTCTTTGTTCATCACCTTATTTGCCTCTATGATGGTTTATTCTGTGGGGCTTACTGTGTATTGCTTAATGTGTAAATTATGTAATCTGATCATAATTAGCAAGCTAACTTGGAATAGGTGTGGGACAGTATGAGATTTTCAAATTAAGCTAAAAATAAAACAACACAGCTTCATTTTATATTCACTCAAAAATATAACAAAACATTGCTATAATTTCAAATAGAGAAACAAAAACCAGTAATATATATTAATAAAACCTAATATAATAAAACCTGTAATATATATTTTTATTTTCATTTTGATGCACTTGACAGCTACATTAAGTAGTAACTTAAAGCAGCTACTTGACAGCTTAGCAGTATCTATAATGTTGCAGTTTAAAGAATTTCAGACAAAAAAAAATACATAATTTCTATCTCATCACTTTCTTAGTTTTTCAAAATGGTTTGCAATCTTGTTTTCTACCTTATACATGCATATATACAAGAGAAATTGTATTCTTCTGAATAATCCCTGTACCTTGACATATGCCAGTCTTTCAGATAGAGGCATCCTTTGGGTGATGAGTGCCCATTCTGGATGTACTCCTTCCAGTAATGTATAAATTCCTTCAATGGCATTACTTGTTTGGGGTTGGCATTGTATTCCTTCGCATTGCAGTTTGCAACTGGGACAGGAGTCTCATCTATAAAAAAAAAATAAAGTGGGACAGAAAATACAATAATAATAGTCAGTTAATATGACGATGTTCGTTGCAACTGTGGATGAATAAATAGTCTTGTTATTTACCAAACTCTTGCAGCAGTTTCTGAAAATTAGGTTTGCCTTCTTCTGTCACCCATTGTTTTCTACATTTCCAGTCTTCTGTGAATCTTCTTGAGAACATGCACGGGTGATTAGGCAGCAAATACTTCCTGAAAAACTTAGAGTAGCTCAGCTCTTTGTCAATGTAGTCAACAAAATGCGAAGACCAAAACTGCTCATATGACTGTCGCGGCATTTTGACAAGGCTGCTGCAGTTGTGGTACGCTTCTCTGTCCATGGTGGTAAACAAGACCCCGGCTAACAGGCTACCAGGCTTAGCCAGCTGCTACATCGAAAAGCGAGTGAACAAATTAGAATACGTCCGCCATCTGTTTTATTAGAAATTCAAATACATTTTAAATACATTCTTTTTTTCACTACGACAACAGGTCGCCATATGGCTAATATTTCTTAACGACGAAAACATAACACCGACACCTTTTCTGCTTATGTCAGTAACATTGGCATTTAGTTTCTTTATCGCGAAGGCTGCGGTTCCTCGGATGTATCCATTAAAATGACCGTCGTAGTCATAACTCGTTATTGAACCCCTACCACAAGAACAGTGACGTTTAACTGTGTAGTGCAGACATAGGCATAGACGAACTAACGCCGCATGTGAGTGCATGACCTCACGTTAGGGAATCGCCATGTTGTGGGTGGCATGTAGGAAAATCAGAGTGACTCCAGTATTTGCATTTTATTTGATATTTTATGGAAATGTGTTTAATATAAACAAATAACCTAATGCAAACTGCCAATCCCCTTATGGTTCTCTCTGTCTTTCTCTTTTTTCTCCCTTTCTCTCTCTGTGTGTGCGCGTGTATGTGTGGGAACGAAGAAGATACAAATATTTAAAGCAAAATAAATTTTGCTGACTTCTCTTCACCAATTACACGGAATTTGCTTTTTTATTGCTTACCATAGTTGTGGAATGTTATTCCTAACAAGCAGTTGCAATAACAATGACATTATGATCATTTTTGTTATTGATTACCACTTGAATACGAGTAAGAATTTTATATCTGCCATGTAATGTTATTTTTTGTTTTGTTTTGTAACGAATAGTAAACTGTTTCAAAGAAATTGTGTAAATGATGTAAAATTGTAAACGATTTAAGGTGAAGTTATAAATTATTGAAAGTGAATTTTCTAAATTATGAATGTTGCAGATTGTTTATAGATGTTTGTCTGTTTTGATTGACATTGTTGGTTTAATGGTATTTGTACTTTGTAATATTTATTTTTTCTTTGTTTTGTACGTCCCTGATAACTGTTTTAAACTTAAACGAATAATTCAAAATTATATAACCCTGATCTGATGTTTTACCTAATGTACTTGTGCTGCTTTACAAGTTTAACTTGCCACTCGAAATACGGCGGACACGCTCGCGTTTGTTCAATAGGTGACAAAAATCTAGAACTGCTTTCAAGTCGGAAAGTTAACTCGCCCGTACCCGGGTGTGACATCACTTCCGTGATAAACAACGTTACACGGAAGAATACGTGGTAACGTCATGCCCAAGCTGGTGTTTTCGCTGTTTATGTTAGGTTGAAAAGACATTTAGCCAAGAGTAAGCAGGGTACTTTAATGATAATGGCATTTTGTGGCGTGGATGACAAAACGGAATTTGTCTGATCAGGCGCCTAATCCGAGTTCATTGGTTTGCCTGCTTTACTTTGAGGAAAGTATGTTCCTAACCAGGACACACGTAGATCACGCAGCAAAGCAGACTCGTAATATAACTGTGTAGATTAGCCTAGCAGCAACGTATGTATGTTGGCTCTGAAACCTGTCTGCTTTTCATCTAGGTGAACTTGCTTCTCTGCTTTCAAGATGAGCCGGGATGCTCCCATCCACAGCTGGCCTGGCTCTTATTACTTGAACAGTGAGAAGAGGTGGGAGAGCGGAACCCTGTCCCTCACCAGGACCATGGTGCGCTTCATCTCAAGCCAGAGCAAGGAGTGTCTCGCCAGCTTCCGCCTGTCCAGTGTCATGGAGATGAAGATGGAGTCATCTAGTTTCATCTTCAGCACCCTCACAGTGCTGGAGGAGGGAAACATCAAGCACTGGTTTGGTTCTCTTAAGCCCAACCGGGTGGTGGTTTTTAACGTGCTTGAGCATTTCTGGAGAGAGCGGCTTCTTTCACCCACCTCAGAGGCTCGAGGGGCCGAGGGCCATCCTTCAAAGGGAAGGGAGCTGATCAGCCTTGTAGCGGGAGCTCAGAGAAGACTGGAGGACACTGGCAGAGTCCTCAGCCACCAGGGAGAGCAGTTTGACAACATGATGGAAGGATTGGAGAAGATTGACTCTGATCTGGGTGTTGCTGATAAGTAATGATCAATTTTCTTAATTTAGCTACTTTTACTATATTTTTTCTATAAAAGCTGAAAACAGTAACAACGTAAGTCACATGCAGATCACTAAAAAATGAACACAAATAAGTGCATCTATATTAAGTGGAAGGAAAATGATACATGGCTTGCAAATCTTTTTTTTTATCCCCCCCAAATATAATCTTTGAATTGTTGGATGCACATGAAGTCACCCCGTTCCTGGACCAGTTGGTTGCTTTGTTCCAAAACAATTTTATCTTGCACTAACAGTTTATGTTTGATGTCCTGCTGCATGCATGATTTCTCAAGACTTTTTCTTAACAGTGGCTTTAATCTTGCTACTCTTCTGTTGAGGAAGAAAAGTGATCTTGTTTCCACTTGTGTTTCAGGAGAGGGCTGGGTTTGGCTATGTGATATTTGTACAGTACTTAACAGGTGTTGGTTATGCCTAATATTTTGCATCCATTGTTATTATGGTTTGTTAAACTTCAGCAGAGAAACAAAATGGGTGGTTTGATCGGTTTTACATGGTGTCGAAATTGTAGGAAAATGTAATATATAACATTGATTATTGCCCATATCAGCAGTATTAATTTTGAATATCAATATCAGCCCACATTTTCATATCACTTTATCCTTAGTTTGCAGTTGTCCTTTCTCTTAGAATGTTTGAATGATGGAGTGAATAGTGTAACCACTCAGTTGTTTGGTCTTCATAATGTTTGCGCTCTAATGTCTGGTTCTTGTTTTCAAACTTGGGGTCTTCTGAAGGCAATTGGTCAGGCTGGATTTCATTTAGGATATCAGTAAAGGGGGCTGAAAAGAAATCAACGTCTCTTAAGATTTTTATTTGTTAGAATGTTTATTAATAGAAAACACATTTTCTCCCTTTAACTTCACAGTTATATATTATTTTGAGTTGATCACCAGTAGTTTTGTCAGATCTCAATAAAACATTTTTAAGTTTGTGACTATAACATAAGAGAGCATAAAAAAAGTACAAAGGTTACAGGTACTTTTACATGGCACTTTATGTTATCTGTGTCTCTTCAGACTTCTTTCAGAACTTGAGTCTCCATCCTGGTGGCCTTTCGGCAAACTCCCCTGGAAGACTCAGCAGGAGGCCAAGGCTGAGGATGCCTCCAAGGCTGCAGCTGCCTTCTCCGCAGGCAAAGTGTCCAGCAGAAGCAAAGTGATCACGAGTATCCCTGCAGTGGTGTCCAAAGGCGGAGACTCGGACTTGAAACCTGGTTGTTTGCTGGTGCTGGTGTCCTCGCTGGAGGTGCGAGACACCAACTGCCACCTCCTCCACCGATTTGAACGCAACGAAATCGACGAAATTAGGGTGCACAGCCCCTACGAGATCACAGTCAGGCAGCGGTTCATAGGGAAACCAGATACATGTTACAGGTTTCTGTCAGCCAAGATGCCAGAGGCCATGTCTGTGTTAGAGATGCAGTACAAAAAGAAGATGGAGTTTACAAGTGAATACGTGGCCTTCAAAGCAACTCCGCTTTCATCTCCTGACAAAGAAGGGACGATCTGGAACGACGGTAAAGCAAATGTTTTTTGTTCTTTTCTCATGCTGGGCATACCCTACCCTGACCACTGAGTGGCAGTAATGATCTATGTTCTCAGCTTGAAGCATTCAGAAGGGCATCCACATTGAAAAACATTTCACCACAGTTATTGGTGTTTCTTTGTGACAAAAATATATTCGGATGAGTCAATTCACCCTGATTGCCTCAGTTGCTGCACTCAGAGTTTGCTGTCTGGTTTTCTTATAAACAACATATTGTATTCACTCTGCACTTTTTCACCACCTCCACCCAATGGAAGTAGATTTGATGCAGAAGTGCCAAGACACAGAGCTCCCAGTGGAGGTCCCGGCAGGAGAGCTGTCCCAGCTGCAGGTGCAAGCCCTCCAGCCGTCTGTCAGTCAGGCTGAGGCCCAGGAACTCAAGCAGGTGAGAGAGCTGGATTTCCATTCCCCGTATTAAAAAAATATGGCTGCACTATGGAGGTCTTAAACAGGGAATTTGTAAAAACAAAACAGGTGGCTGAGCTGAAAAAGCCCACATGTTGTCTGCATAGTGTCTCAAAATGACGTTTGCTGTTATTGTAAATAACCTTACAGTTACAGCAACATGTATTTTTATGTTTCCATTCCAAGCCACAATTTTCTGCTATGATTTTTATTTTTTATCCCATGTATTTAAATGTTATTTGATGAGCCCACAAACCAAAAGTCCATCCTGGGTTTAAGAGAGGAAAAGAAGTACGGTCAGTTATTTGGTCAGTGCCTTTTCCATTCAGTACCTCACAGCACTGAGAGCTGTTACAGACATGGTCTGTGGTGGCAAGAACTAAATAGTGACGCAAATTCAGGCGCATTGCGCTGACATTTTTTTCTTATGTTTGTGACTCACTGCTTGAGGTTGCTGAGATCTTGAAATTACATGTGAAACTTACAGTCACCCATTTTTGCCTTGTTCCATAAGTTTGAAACATGTAAGACTAAAATAAATGAATGACTGTAAGATTTACCTACTGCATACACTCAATGGCCGCTGTTTTAAGTACACTTGTTCATTTGCTTGAAATCAGTCAATTATGTGGCAACCATCTATTGCATCCAGGCATCTACATACAGGAAGCAATAAAATGTGGAAGAAAGAAGGTCAAAGACACTTTTAACATGGCATTCATGTTGGGGCCAGATGAACGGTACTGTTTCAGAAACATTAGATCTGCAGGGTTATCATGCACATTCATCTCTGAGATTTATATGATACTGTCTAAAATAAAAAGAAAGTATTCAAGGAGGGCTAGGTATGTTAGCAAAAAAGGCTTTGATGGTAGCCGAGAAGAACTCCACGGTCTACTTCTAGTGTGGTTGCTAACCATTTCCATCCCATTATGACCACAGAGTATCTTCTAATGGCTACTTATAGCAGCATACAAAGTATCAGATTATCTCAAAAGAGTCAGTGAGTTTTACTCTATGCTAATGGTCTCCTGGGTTACCAATTCTGTAATATAAAACAACTTTGGGATGTTGTGGAACGGCATACTAGCATCATTAATGTGCAGTCAATAAATCCGCAGCTACTGGAGGGTGCTATCATGTCAATATAAATCACAATCTCTGAGAAATGTTTCTGACATCTTGTTGATTCTATGCCATAAAAATGTAAGGCAGTTCTGAATGGAAAAGGTGAATCGAGTCGACAATGTACTATGAAAGCATACCTAAAAAAAGGCAGATCAGTTAAAGACTCTAGTACTCAGTTCAAAGTCATGTGATAGCGTGTGTGATTCCAGAGAAGCCAGAAAACTGAAGACCCCAAAGCTCCCTGGGCCACACATTTCTCAAAGTCTTAGGTTTGACAAGTCTACAAGAGTTCCTGATGGTGTTACAGTATTCTTTGAACACACTTCATGACTATTCTCCTATCCCTGTGATTCACTGTTATGACCCTTCACTATAAATTTAGTTAAATATTACACAGCGCTTCGCTGCTGCTTTGGCGTAAAAGCTATGTCTTAAATAAACGTTTGAAACCATTTCCAGCACTGGGCTGGCCATAAAGCTCAGCTTGGCCATTGTGCTTTCAAATGTTTTATTGTCCTCTGCTGATAAGGGTTCACAGGCTGCCAGTTCCAGGACACTATGCAGTACTAGTGCACACACTACGCTCCTAACGTAATTCAAGATGACAATCTCGTCTTAGATACACCGTCTTAGACAGTGTATTTAGGCTCGCTGTTCCGAGGCCTGATTTAAGTGCTGATACCTACACTGCACTGCCGTATGGGGGGAGTTACAAGGCATTAGTAAAAGTAGAATTAAGAATAAAGAATATATATTTGGTTTAACACTAGACTGGAAGAAGATAAATATTATTGCCTCACTAATATGGCAAAACTTAAATCAGAATAGTGTGGATTTGCTTAAATGTTGCTTTTGCAAGGACATCACGCTCTTAACTTTTTCCCTTACTACTTCTGCACTTAATCTGCAAAAAGTCAGTAAACTAGCAATCATGTCATAGATCAGTACAAAACGGAACTTTTGAAACTGAACCATGTCTGAATGTTGAACATTTACTACAAAATAAATGTGATGAACCATAAAATCTATTTACTATTTGAGACACAAAAATCTTTTGTTCCATGCAGACCTGTAATGTGTTGAAGTTTTTATTCGTTTTTCAGTTTTTCATGTCTAAACTACCTCAACAATTTTCACTCATATTATTCTGTGAGCTGTAGCCTAAATGTTTAATTTTGGAGGTTTTTTCATGATTTATAATCTCGCTATTGTGTAAGCAATTACTGAAAATACTGCAAGGCATGACGCTGTCATGTCATTTTAGTTTAGAGTGTGAAGTCACAGACCTGAGTGGAGTAAAAGCACGTGTTTCTTGGAGTGTATTGACATTATCTGCTTTCTAGTTTGTTGCCTGTGACTGTTTTCATGCCCATGTGGAATGTCCACAGAAAGCAGTTGGTGAAAATCTGACATCATCTCAGCTGCTACACGAGCATGGTTTGCGTGAGTGTGTATAAAATAATACAAGCTAGACAGTTTGGTAAAGTTTGAAGTGAGTGTTTATTGAGTTTTGTGTGGCAGAGTGCAGTATATTTAAACTGTCCTCCCATTAGTCATCACAAACAGTTTTTAGACCGTGGACATGTAGTCACAATATTCCCTAAACTCACAGAAAGTAGTACATAAACAACACTCCCCTGAGAGAAGATAGCACTTCTTTCTTGCTGTGTTGGCAAGCTGTGGCAGCTGAATACCCTTTATATCCTCAGTGTTAACTTATTGCATCATAGATCCTCAGACATTGAACATCAAAACATATTCCTTGAGAGCTAAAGAAAAAGATTATAGTGCTTTAAATTAAGACTGATGCCCAATGTATTTGCAGACATTTTAACACCCAGTCGAAAATGCTATGCCTATTAAAAAGTATTCATACCCATAAAAGTTTTTCAAACATTTTTGCCATAATGATTTCAAATTTCAAAGGATTTTATTGGAATTTTATAGACCAACATGAAACACATGTACAATGTGAAACAAAGAAATTCTTTTGGGGTCTAGGGACTGCAGTTTTTGCCCATTCCTTTTTTAAAAATAGCCAGAATGCAGTCAGATTGGCCAAAGAATATGCTGTGATTCAAATCAATTCCATCTCTGGCTTAATGTAAAGGGTTGAGGTAAAAAATGTAGGCAGACCTTTACCTTCTAGAATGTAAGATTCTTCCACCTGAGTGCATATCTGCTGCTTGCCCCTGCCCTGGGCCTTCTGGGTTTTTTTTTTTAATTAAATAATAGTCAGTCTGGGTGGACAGGGATGTCTGCGATTACAAGGAGTACCATTGTGTTATATCCTCTGGATGTTTGGTAAAACAGTGCTCTGTTAGATGACAAATGCTTGGGGATGTTGTTATAACCCATATGGGTGTAAGGCAATATTCACACTGGAAGACTCTAGTTTGTAAAATTGTTATTACCTTGGTTTCTACTTATTTATGCATTTTCCTTTGGAGAACTGTCAGCCGTTTTACCTCAATCACATTTTGTATCTCTTTTATGCAAAAAGCAGCACAATTTTGAGGGCATTCAACTGCCTTGCTTTCTTGTCATGACAGTTTGTTATGCGACAGATAATCTGTGAAAACACAAATCTCCTCCAGCTCCTCCCTGACCTATTACTGACAGCTAAAGATTATGAGCTACAGTGCTAAAACCCATCTTGTACCTCTGATTGGTTGTTTTACTGGGAGAAGGCAGATTAATTAAATGATTCTCAGATAGTCTCTCAACATATTGACACTCTCAACAAATATGTACTTTTTGTTAATAAAAGATGCATACTGCAGCTTTAATTTCATTTAGGAGGGAATGGTTCAACAGATATCTGTAATTTAAATGTAAGATAAGGCAGGATATATCCACAATATCTGGTCTGACAAAAGGCTGATTTTTATTATAATCTAATAACCCCCCCGCCCCATATAGCGCCCCTGACTCTAAAAAACTGCTCTCTTGGTTAGTGATTTTGAAATAGTCATCCCGGTATGTTGTTACATGGTTACTCGTGCTCTCAGGAGGCTGAAATGTGAAAATATTTACCCAACTGAATATATCCTTCTGTGTGGTGTTATGTTTGTAAGCAGATGCTGATGCAGCTAAAGAACCTTGCACTGGAGGCAGAGTCGGAGCTGGAACGCCAGGACGAGGTCCTGGACGTCCTGACGAGCTCAACAGACCGAGCCACCATGCACATTGGGAAGCACACATGTCGCATGAAAAGACTGCTGTAGAGGAAAGACTTGGAAAAAAAAGCATGTCGCTTCGTGATGTGCCTTAGATGGCCTTCTGCTTGAAGAAAGCATTAAAAACTGAGTGCATATCTGCTGCACGCAGTCTTGATAGTCCTTAAGATTTAGTGCTACTTAAAGATGTAACTGGATGGATCTCTAATTTGTAGGGCGATCCTGAGGTGTCCCCACAAGTCTAGTTTAAATATTACTTGCTGTGAAAATAGAACTTTGGCTCTTCAATGCAATTAGGCAACACATACCTTCCAAAGTTTGCACTACTTCTTTAACAAAATACTGTTTTCAATCTTTATTTATTTAGCTGTTTAAAATGTATTTTCTTTTAATGTATGAGTTTCCGTTTGCCAAATCAGAGTTTAACATTTCAAAAACATCACTTCCAGCCTTGTAGTCTCTTTTTTTTTCATGATTTGGAAGGATACAGTTAACTTCTCTGATTTCATGATTTTATGATTTTTATGATTTGGAAGGATACAGTTAACTTCTCTCTTCCCAGTGATGCATTTGTTCTAGATAATGTATTGTAATAATTCAATGTTATGTTTCTCAGGTTATGTTTCACTTTTTGAAAAAGAGTCTCTGTCTCTTTCTTATGCATGTGTCAGTATGACTTATTTTACAGAAATAAGGGAAAATGTTATTTGAAAAAAAAATCAATATATAGTTGAACACTAATGAAACTTTGTACATTCTATGAAAAGAGAGAAATTACACATTTATCTGTAAGATTAATTTATGTTATGTTATGTTAACATTATGTATCCTTTGTTTTTCAAACTCTGAACTTTTATGTTTTAACCTTTTACATTTTTATATGCTCTGGGTGATTTTTTTTTGTCTGTTTTTGTGAAAGAAAATGCGAGAGAGGTTATGTGTGTCATGAGATAAAAAATTGACCTAAACTGGAGCATGTCAAAGTACTGTACCTTTGAAGCAGTATAGCAACTTCTGAAATTACCTATGTCTATTTCTACTGTTAACTTAATTTGTCATTGGATGTAAATAAGTAATTAGCTTCAAATATCAGTAAGATTAACCTAATTTCACTTCTATTGTATGCACTGAATAGCATAACATGTGCAATAAAATTGAAATAAGATCATCAAATATACATATTTTTAACTTTTAAGTTTTTGTGGAACCTCTAATTAGCACATTGAATGGTTTGTTAAAGTAACTGTTACATTATTACTTATTACAGTTGCTGTCTGCAGAACTTTCTTCTTTTTTTTTTTACTGCTCATTGATTTTCTTCACTCCTCTTGCCTACTTCCATTGAGTGAAGTAGGAAATCAATACAAGCCAATAACGTCTTTTGACATAAAACTGCTTAATATCATTTAAATTATTTTATTATGTAATACCACTAACATGTCTTACTTTAAGCTGGTCTTAATTGCTTTTCATTTTTAGCAACATTTTCACTTTATGAACGTTCAAACTTCAATGCCTTGGGCCACCATTTTATTCAGCGCTGATACCCAAGAGAAACATTTTATATGATTGCCAATTCTCTGCAAGTTTCCACTGCCTGGTCAATAAAAAAAAATATATATATATATTTTTTTTTTCAGAGGTAAAATAAAAACTAAGCATTGTGAGCCACAAATTGGAACACAATTAAAAAGAAAACGTCATCAAATTGATATATTCCCACCAAATTAGTGTAGCCAATACCCTAATGCCAAAGTGTTGTAAAAGTTTACATTTGTGTCATAATGTTTTACATTTATAAATCACAGTATGAAGTATGTATATTTTGTATGTAAACATGTATTTTCCATGAGCAGTGAGGTCTGAAAACCAACCCAGATGGTCTGTGCTTGCTATTGCTACCAGCTGCAGGAATACTAATGCTAAAGTTTCAAACTTGTTCGCAAAAAGTCCTATTTACACAGAGAAAATTACCATAAACATGGTTTTAACTTCTTTGGAAGATGTTTACATTACTCTGTGAACAGATTTTATCAACAAGTTAAAATGCTAATTACAAAACTTTTAGTGGAAGTTGACATCATATAAAAGGCATGATTTTATTTGTGTAAATTGTGGTCTTAGACATCTTCCATTATGTGGCTGTTGTTTAGGTTTTAAGTGATGAAAATCTATTAAAGCAGTTTAATTTTTGTAATGACATTTTGACCTTAACATGATCAACATTTTGTGCCATAGAACTTGGTATTAAAAGAGAGGTATTCAAAAGAAGGCAGACAGTCTCATTCCAGTCTGGTCCCAGTGAGCGTAAACTTATCACTGCCATGAAAAATTGGATCATGAAAACACTTAGCACAACACAGAGCTCTTACTCTTGTATGACACCATAAATATTCTTGCCCAGATGAGAGTGATTTAATTGTGGGCCATTTATTTTGTTGATTCCACTGATAAACAGTGAAATGTTTGGAAGTTCCGAACTTCAGAAGCACGGCACATGGTTTCTTGAATTCCAACCTTTAAAAAAAGAAAAGAAAAAGCTTAGGGAAACAGACTACACGCTGGCGTGGTTTCGAAGCAGCACTCGCAATACGAGGAAGTGGCGGCGGTCTCGTCTGACCACAGATACATGAGATCCGGCTTTGCCTTCTAAACGGATGGTATGGAGACACAAGGGATTTTGTTGGCCTTGACTTCCAAGCCTGTTTACATGATAGTCCTGTGGTAAGAGCTTTCATTCAAAGAGGCATGTCTCTACTGAAGGCACATCACTCAGTGCTTACAAGGAAAAAAAAAAAACAGCTCGAGACTGTGGGCAACGAGGGCATGAGGGTTGCACTGCACTCCAAATGATGAAGTCATATTTCTCTTCAATTGGGTTTTCGATGTGTATTAAAAAAAAAAAAAATCTGCTCTTTTGTTCAATTTCCACTTAGCATTGTAGACTCACTTCAGTTTTAATACATAAATTATGAAAGCTAATATTACACATTTGAAAGTATAACTTTTGTGTTAATTAAGCCAGACCTAGACACAAGAGTGAATTACTACAGAAAATCTTGGTTTTAGTCTGTTTGGCTTTATCTGAGTATAACATCCTGATTCTTGACTCACATCTTGGACAGACCCTTACTATTGCAGGTGTTGCTACGTTTTCTTTTGCTGTGGGAGTTTCTGGTTTCAGGAAACAAGGTCCTGCGCTTAACATTAGAACTGGGAGAATACATTCCTGGAAAGAAGGTGCCTGAGCAAAACCAGGGAGTCAATGCGCTCTTGCACATAGAAAGTGGTATGACTCTTTACATCAACACTTTCTGTGTTCCTCTTACTATGAGATGATTTTTTCTTCTTTATTTAGGCAAAGTTATATATCATATATAAGTTAGCATGTGGATTTCTATTTAACCTTGATTTTATTTAATGTCCATATGTGCAAATATGTTGTTTGGATTTGATTCTATCTATGGTTTCTATCTACTCATGAATTTCCTCAGCATGGCTATTAAGGTACTTTCCCAAATGCTGAGCTGCATGCTGAAATCTTGTGCTGTTGCTCATTGTAATGTTTTTTGTTGATCTTTCAGTGGCTTGACTCTTGGTTTTCTGGCTTTTCCCATTTCTGTGCAACATTGATAACATCGACAGGGCCAAACCAAACTGGCCGCTGTTTTGTACAGCAGTGTCAGTCTCAAATTCACTCCAGGTGAAATCTGACATTACAGCTAACCATTTAGCAATTTAAATGTGAACAATGTATTGTTTGCTGATTGTATTACTTTTGCTTAGGGTGCTATGCCTCCACCACAGGCATTGGTACTCGTAGTGTTGTATTCTACAACTCTTGAAGGAAAAATTTAGAATAAATATTGTAATAGAATAGTTGCTTGGAGACCTACCAAACTGGCACTCGTAGGCTTTTTAAAGGAGCTTACTATGCCCATGTCTGACAACAGTGATGAATTTACAAATTGTAATTTTCTCTACATACTCAGATTCTGCCTTACTTATGAAGGTAAAATTGCATTATAGCAGCGCAGCAATCAAAATGTGCTTTAGAAGACCTTCTGAAAAAAAAACTAACTTTTTCTTCAAATTTGATCAGGATCCACCTATGTGCACAGGCATAGCTTAATCTTCTTTGCAGTACTTCTATGCAGTGCTTATGCAAGCTTTCATTTTCTCTAAATACTCAGTTTGTGTCTTACCTGTGATTGTAAATGTGCACTACAGCAACACAGCTATCAAAATGTTATTTAGAGGACAGTGTCTGTCACTCTACCCAAACTTTGTAAGACCATCTGTAGTTAGTTCATTGGCAAAAAGTCAATTCAGTTTGATGCTATGTGTGGTGGATGGATGCAAATTAAAATACTGAAATACAATTACACTGCAGCTGTATTCAAACTCTCTTAATTTGCCTCAGATGAGAAAAAAAACAGACACAGCTGAGGCTGATTTTTGTGGCTAACCATGTAGAAGGGACATATGTAGAGAGCTGTGTTTGATTTACTGCAATAAGAAGACATTTTGTACTCACAGAAATCTAAAAATGTATAAAATGGATAAAAAACAGCTACAGTTACAGTTAGGTGGTCTGGGTGTTAACTCGTTAATCAAGCTAGTCAAAGCTACAGTATGAAGTGTGTTGAGCACTCTTCCCTCAAAACTTGAGTTCTTACTTACCTTAAATCAAAGATTTAAATTGAACAATCCTGAGTGATAGCTGTTCCTTTTCACCTTTATTTGCATCAATTAACGATGTGGGAAAACTTATCTAAAACAGCAGTCCATCAGAAACTCTTGTTCCAGATGACATGACACATTTTAAGAGCGGTATAAAGAAAAATTTTAATTTTAAAATTAAATTGAAATTAAATCAATTGAGCTTTATCGAATTTGATTCCCTTTTTGATGACAACATCTAAAGCCTGTCTATGTATACCTCCCCCAAGCAGGTTGTCAGGGCATCGGCCATTTCACATAGCATTGGTACTTTTACAAGTCGGCCCCCCAGAAACCCTTAGCGAGTCTGTTTTTAGTGGCTCTTACTGCAAATGGAAACACTTAACTCCCACAATAAATTACCTACCAGACTCTTGCCACACTGCAGAACCCCAGCGTTTGGAGCTATGGATTTATATTTCATTAGAGTGTATTTAAATCTGCTATGTTGTAACGACTTTGGTTGAAATTAGCCGATAAAAGGGCTGGAAATAAATGAGTCAAGTAAAGGTTGTTGCACCAGCCAGCAGGGGTTGATGTCTGATTAAAGCTAAGGATGTGTTCCACAGCCACCTCTTTGTTGGCTGACACCAGGGTCATTTTAGGATAAAAATACACTTTCCTGGTTACTTATTTTCTGTATTAAGTAAACAGTCATTAGTATGACAGGCCATTGATCTCAAGGCATTAAGTCTAAACTATTGTTTATGCTGTGGCAGGGTAATTAAAAGGGACAGTCATATTGCCTGTGCTGTCTAATAGTGGATCCATAACAAAAACAGTAATAACAGCACAACTCCTTGGGGTCAAGGTCTGGACACCACTTAAACATGCAGAAAAGCATAGCTTGCCTTAAATCGCTGTATTGGATGTTAACTCTTGTTAGGAAATAAGGCCCTCATTTAGGTTCCTTGCTAGCTGGGAGCCTGTTAACAAATCCTAATTATCATTATAGCAAACATATGTATTACCAATCACTCAGTAGTTTGGTAAACTACTGAGTGATGTAATCACAGCTGACCAAACAGATTGTTGTTGAAATATTGCCCTGCTGTTATAGGTATGATGTGACGGCATTGTGTGTTCACCAAGAGCTGCCACAAGAATAACAAACTTAGTTGAATTTGGGTTTTGCGTTTCAAACCCCAAATTTGCAGCGTCTGGGTCAGACAAAGGATGGTAGCCATGGACAGCATGCATTGGTTCTTTGCCTTATGGTAAAATTTGTCAGTATGATCTTGGAGATTAATGTAAACATCCACAAATTTCTGAATACACAAGTTTGTGAATACCCCTAAAACTTTTGTGTCCATTTTTTTTTTGTGGCAAAGAATGGCAAAAGGAAAAAAAAATATATATATATATTGAAATAAAACTAAAAAAAAAAAATTATCAATTATAAGGTAGGTGCTTTGGTCATATTTGAATGATCTCTCCAAAAAGTGGTTCAAAAGCTATGCTGGGACAATAGAC